TCTTTTAAAATTTTAATTACAATTTAATTAATTACATTTAATTAAATAAAATATACAAAACCCAAATCATACAAATAATGTATATAAAACCCCAAATTATATAGCTAATATATATAAAAACCCAAATCATATAAGTAATGTATATAAAAACTCAAATCATATAAATAAAATATACAAAACCTAAATCTTACAAGTAGGGTATATAAAAGCCCAAATTATATAAATAATGTATGCAAAAACCCAAATTATATAAGTAATGTACATAAAAACCTAAATTATATAAATAATGTATATAAAAACCCAAATCATATAAGTAATGTATATAAAAACACAAATTATATGAATAATGTATGTAAAAACTCAACTGATCAGTATGTGAATTCGGTGAATGTGACACATTTTTTAGAAAAATTGTGATTGCAGCATAAGAAATTTAGCTTCTCCCGAAAAAATGTTTCAGTGTGAAAATGATATTTTTTTTAATCATTTTATACCGAGAAAGGCAATATAACCGCTAAGACTCAAGGGAGAACTGAGCGTGGAAAAATATGAGAGAGAAAAAAAACATTATTAAAGGAAGAATAATAGGAAAACAGGAATTAACAAATCAGAAGATAACGACTTATATAGCATTTAAAATGTTGAAGTTGACTGGGAAACAAGAGGCCGGAAGAGAGTGACACAATAAGAAGTGCGATAAAAGACACTTTTAGCCTAGAACTTACGGTTACATATAGCTATTTCAACTGTAAAATGATGGGAGCTCGCTGCCAATCTAGTACTGAGTTTAAATTTTTAAAGTCAAAGGGCAAATAGCAAGGTTCATCAGAAAAATTATCATGGAAATATTTATATAATAGACAAAGGGATGCTACGTAACAGTGATGGAGAAGCCGAGATTTTAGGTCAGGATTGATAAGATTGCAGATCCTTCTTTGAATTTTATCAAGAATCTCTAAATACGTAGCAGAAGCCCTAAACCACATGTGACAGTAATATTGAAGGCATGGACGAATGAGAGACTTATGAATATGTAAGATAGATTATAGCGAGACAAATCGTCTCGCAGAACGCAGTGAATCAACTTTCTTAGCAGTTGACATAGCAGTTTATTCAATATAATCTTTTCCCTTCATGTCAATGGAAAACTTTAGCCAGAGAAGGCATAATAAATTTTTCTCCTGGAGGTTACCATCGACCATGTTGATGGCTGAAAAATAAGTCCTCTAATACGAGTAAAAGAGAGTAGATTGATTTTGGAGGCGTTAAAATTAACAAGCCATTTCTTGCCTCAGATAAAAACAGATTGTTGCTCTTTTTTGTTTTTTACATCAGCTGCTGATTTTGACATAATTTAAATATTTTATAAATACAGAACTAACTGAATTAATTTCTGGGTTATATATTTTCTGCCACATCTAAGTACCGTCTGGATTAATTATGCCCGTTTGAATTTTTCAATTTCTTAAATAAGCAGGGAATTTTTTTTTACTTGAAATAAAATAATCATATTGCTGGGAAAAAATTCTTTGAATAATAATAAGAGTGATGTACCAAATAAGCAGAGAGACAAGCTGGGGAATTGATGTTGTGATTGTCGCATAAGAAATTCGGTTTTCGCCTTAATCACACTTTAGAATTGAAATATAATTTTCAAAAAAGTTAATATTATGTAGATTAATCTTTTGTACCAAATATAAAATCTGTCTGGGACAGTAATGCCGGTAAGATTTTAAACTGATAAGTGTCGATTTAAATAATCGTTCCGTAATTCTTTTATATAAGGTTAATGAAAATAGAACAAAATAATCGTGCCGCGGAGAGAATGCTTTTTAAAATAACAAGCGTGCAACAAGCATTATATAGGAGAGGGGGTGAACTGAAGGAAATAATTTTTAATTTATTTTTACCATAACTTGTATTTGGGAAAGCATTCTTCTTAGACTCTGGAGAGAAACGGACACAGAGTCACCACGCTGGGGTCTTCGTAGCAGGTAGGTCAGACTAACGAGCCCCAACCACAACCAATTTTGAATATAGAGCTATTTTTAATCATTTCATCCCAAGCAAGGCGATAATGCCACTAAGGCGCAAGGGGAGTTACTGTAAGTGAAAGAGAAGTAACATGCTTTAAGAAGCATTGATTTTTTTCGTTTTCTACGGCTTATCAAACCATTGCAGTTTATTTAGAGCCAGGAATTTTTTTTAGAGTGTAACAATTTTATTTTTTAGTTAATAATGATTTAGTGATACGAATCTTACTAATTAACCCATAGATGAGGAGATAACAGGTAGTTAATAGCTTTTTCTCGTAAGTAATATATATATATATATATATATATATATATATATATATATATATATATATATATAAGAAATATAGTTGTAAGGTGTGCTATATTTATAGAATAAAGTACTTAATATCAGAGATAGAGCGTATGTAAATATAAAAGTAAACATTGAAGTCAACACTCAGAGTCGATAGACTGTTTTCCTGCTAAACGCAATCATCAGGCCACTTCAATGTTACTTTTTATTCCTGGTATTTTGAAGTGGTCACCCATCAAGGTACTGACCAGGTTCGACGTTGCCTAACTTCGGTGATCTTCGGTGATATTTCAATGTGATGTGGTCGTAAGCTTTTAGTAAAAGGGCAATAAACCTAGAGAATTCCGGAAGCGAGAAACCGGAAGAGAGTTCCACAGGCGAGACGTGCGAGAAAAACCTATTAGAATATAATTTATACTTATATCTAGCTATATCAACAGTCAAACGATGAAACCTACTTGTCAATCTACTAGTACGCTTAAAGTCATGCGGTCCAGGTATTTTTCTCTTAGGCTGGCTGCCAACGAAATTGAGAACATAGTCTGCCCTACTATTTTTTTAAGTATTTCACCCCAAGCAAGACGGGAATGCCACATAAGGGGTTACATAGAGTGAGATGAAGAGTAAAGGGTAAAGAGGTGTTTGAGGATTGGATATAGAGAAGGACGGGGATCAGGATCAAGGCAGATCGATTGGTATTACAGTTGAATATTTGAAGATTATAGCTACCAGGGAAGCAAGTAAGAGGAAGGGAGTTACACTGTCGGGAAGTGCGAAAGAAGAAGCTGTTGGAGTAGAAGAAGCGGTTACATTTAACAGTGTCGACAGTGAAAGGGTGAGACTGAGATGGCAATATATTATATTGATGCAATGGGAAGACACCAGTGAAAATAGCTCGTCAGAGCAGTTGTCATGAAAATATTTGTAGAAAATCCAGAAGGGAATCATATCACATCTGTGCGAAAGTGACTGGAGTCGAAATGCCAGGACCTATCACATTTAATGAAATAGGTAAACAGAGATAGCTCAAACACGTGTAGCAAACAAAAATATCGTGTATATATTAATATATATATATATATATATATATATATATATATATATATATATATATATATATATATATATATATATATATATTTTATATATATATATATATTTTAAGACAGTTTTTATATTTATACGTTCTTTTTACAGATACAAAAATTTAAGTAAATGCTCTGTATTAACTACATTTACCGGCCTGAATGTCTGAGAAATTTTCATAGAAAATATGCGTCCGCCGATAGGAATCGAACCTGTATCCTATACGGAACCGTCATATAGCCTGACGTGCTTTTACCGATTGAGCCACAGAGGAGCGTTTCGGTTAGCAAGGTTGATTTTACTGCTTTTAAATTACAATTCTCCATGATTTTCTCTCCTACATTCATATCTGCTCGATGCGTATCCGAATGTAAACAAATGACGTCACACATTATAAAATGGACAAAATCCGACAATTATTTTATAACATTTCTTTATGTTCATAATGTTTGACGTCATTTGTTTACATTTGGATATGCATCGAGCAGATATGAATGTACGAGAGAAAATCATGAAGAATTGCAGTTTAAAAACAGTAAAATCGACCTTATTAATCGAAACTCTCCTCTGTGGCTCAATAGGTAAAGCACGGTTCCGCATAGGATACAGGTTCGATTCCTGTCGGAGGAAGCATATTTTCTATGAAAATTTCTCAGACATTCAGGCCGGTAAATGTCGCTAATACTGTTTATTATAAACAAACCATTTACTTAAATATTTGTATCTATAAAATGAACGTATAAACATAAAAAATGTCTTTATATATATATATATATGTGTGTGTGTGTGTATGTGTGAAAGGGTGGGAGCGAGATGCTAATCTAGTAGCACGCTTAAATTCATGCGGATAGGGTACCAGTGAAAGTAGCCCGTCAGAGCAGTTGCCATTTTAAACCCATGCCTGTTGAGAGAAAGGTGTTTATGCGAAAGTGAACCCTAACGAACTCAATCGGATGTTGATGTCAACATTCTGATTCCATTATCCGCGTCAGTAACCAACGTGTCACGCGTAAGTCATATTATGGTATACTAGAGTAAGTCTGAAAACCGACTTAGCTAGCTGAACTAATGAAGAAAATCTACCCATTAGCAAATTAAGTCCCCTCGTGTCTATTTTGCTGAATAAAAATATAACCTCTCAGCGTTACCATTTTTACTAACGTCCTATCATTAAAATATGCTACTTTTCGATATCTTCAAGGTATTTATTTCAATATAGACGGTTAATTTCCTTCACAGCAGCTCGACATTTTGTAATTTCTGTTCATAAAAAAAAAGATATATATTCCAAAAACATTATAAAATCTTTTTAACATTTTAAAATGCAATCTCTTTGATTTTTCTTGAGGTTATTTTTTGTAAACGATTTTTCAGAAAACCTTTGTTCTTTCCATTTAAAAAAAAACAAGTTCTCGCTAAAATGCGTTTACTACGTTAAAAGAGATTTAGTACGTTGTTGTTAGACCAAAGATCTCTCGCCATTTTTTTTTCCCAAACTGATGTTACTGGAATCAGGAATCCAAAGGCGTCAGTTGCCGAGCGGGAGGCAGCGGTGCGTAAATTATAAAGTATCAATATTATTGGATTTAGCGGATCGATAGGCGACGTTTTGTGAGTTTTAAATCGGTTGCACAAAGAAAAAGCAAAAAAAGAATAAAATGATTGAAAAAAAAATGGAGAACGCGAGATAAAGTGAAAACATGAAATAAGGAGAGAGTGACATACAAAGAGAAATGAATGATGAATGATACAGAGGGAGTGAATATGAGTGTAAGGAAGAGGGAACGAGAGAGAAAAGAGAGGACGAATGGGAAAGAAAACGAGAAAAAGAGGGAATGAGTGAGATTAGAGACGGTGAGAAGCAGCGAGAGAAAGAATGATAAAGAGAGAAAAAAAGATTGATAGAGATATAGCAAGGGAGCAAACGAAAAGAAAGGGTTAAGAGGGAGAAATGAAAAAGTGAGGGCAAACGAGAAAGAAACGTAGAAAGAGAAAACAAGACGGACAAAAAGAAAGAAAGAAAGAAGTGTTGAAAAGAACGGGGACGGAAGTACGTGTGTGTGTGTGAGATAGAGAGATAGAGAGCGTGAGAGTGGGGGCTAAGAACTGGTAAGAAACAGAGGAAAATGAGTAAAAGTGAAACGATAGAAAAGAGAGAACGCGAGAAAAAACGAGAAAAAACGAGAAGAAATGTGAGAGAGGGAAAATAGAAAGAAAGAACATGAAAGAGTGAGTAATAAAGAAAATGAGTGAGAGATCAAGAAGGATAGAAAATAAATTGGAAAATGTTGACGAAAATAAAACCGTTGGTGTCAGGAGAACAACAGACAAAAAAGACAAAAGTCTAACGAGACATAGAAAATGTATGTATGTTTGTGAGTAGCCATGTTTGATCCCTCTTAATCTATTCTTTCCGGGATTTTTTTTTATCGTTGAACAACTTTTAATGTTTTAATCGAAACGCTCCTCTGTGGCTCAATAGGTAAAGCACGGTTCCGCATATGATACAGGTTCGATTCCTGTCGGAGGAAGCATATTTTCTATGAAAATTTCTCAGACATTCAGGCCGGTAAATGTCGCTAATACTGTTTATTATAAACAAACCATTTACTTAAATATTTGTATCTATAAAATGAACGTATAAACATAAAAAAATGTCTTTATATATATATTTCATACTTTCTTTAATAATCTGTCCTTTGTTAACTAATTCAGAAAAACAATTCTCACTTCGAATTTCGTTCGATTTTTCTTTCTTTCTTCTTCTTCTTCTTCTTCTTCTTCTAGGTGCCGTGTCTCTTCAAGTTGTGGACAATCATGAGTCTCTCCGATTTCCTACCCTTTGTAGCTCTTAGCAACGTGTGTCTTTCTAATTTTACAATTATTTTAATGAATTCTTTCACCATTATTTGACGGCATCAGCTAGAAACAAAGGTAAAGCAAATCTTTCAAAATTCCCCTAGTTTCTTATGTAATATTAACTTTTCTCCCTTACACCGAAACCTGAAGAGCTCCAATTCTTCTTACTTTCGTTTCTCCTCGTTCTCCTTTCAGTCTATATAATTTTGGACAAATTTTAGATATTTCAGGAATGAGTAGCATCAACCACTTGTTAAACAGGTGGATGATGATTTAAACTGAGGTTACAAGCAATCGTCACGTTTGTACCTCGGACGTTGTTACTCGTCCATCTAATACTTCACCAATGCTTAATTGAAATCTCCTTTAATTCTTAACGTTACACCGACTGTTAGGGTGCACTGTGTTTTTCGTTCTCAAGCAATGATCAGTTATTATTTTTTCATGTGCTTATTTCTTTTCTGATATAATACACGACAAATTATGATACAATTACAAGGCCGATGGATATACAATTGTCCATAGCTAATAGGCCGACGATTATCCATGTCCGATGGAGATACAGTGATTCATGGTCAATGGGGATAAAGTTATTCATTGCTAACGGAGATACAGTTGACCATGGCTAATAGTGAGACAGTTATCCTTAGCTAACGGTGATACAGTGATCCATGGCCATTGGAGATAAAGTTATCCATTGCTAATGGGGATACAGTTAACGGCGGCTAATAGTGAAACAGTTATCCTGAACCAACGGAGATACAGTTATCCATGGCCAATGGAGGTAAAGTTATCCAAGGCTAATGAAGATACAGTTAATACATGGCTAATTGTGATAGATATTACATAGACCATAGTCATGCATATACACCATGACCAATACGATTAATCTATGGCCAATAGAGATAGCGCTTGATTCTAATGAACTCTTGCTTCTTTGTGTGAATTGCATCAATGTAAAACTTCCAAAGTATCTGGTTTTTCATATTCTCAAAGACAGCTTCTGTTTCGTGTTGCTGTCATTGAGATTTATTAGAGCGTCTTGTGCAATTCTATCATGTAGGGCATAAATGAATGGAATTGTCCGTTTAAGTAAATAACGCGAAGTTAATCGGAGTTGAGCAGAGTTGTCATTAGGTCATAGCTGCGCGCTAAGCTCTTAGTGCTTACCGAACTCTCTGCCTTCAAGCAGAGAGGAACCCAGACGAGTCTATGCCGAAGAGCAGACTCTCGTCTGGAGTGGTAGACAAACCCGACACCGTGTATATCTATGGTGAATTTTTGCCTGGGCCTACGGAGGTCAGAAAAAACCCACGTTAAACCGGCCTTGTGCCACATCCCTCTCTGTGGGAGCTCGGATAAATACCAAGTCATCGTTAGGTCAAATGCTAAGTGTACCTTCGTGTACGAAACCTTTTATTTCCTTACTTGCCTACGCGTCTGTCTTCCTTATTTTTATCATGTTATTCTTTATTTCTTATATTTAGAATATTTATTCTCTCTGTTATCTCGAAAACACGAGATAGAACAAATTTCCAGTGAGTCGCTTTTCCGCCAAATCTTATCTATTTTGTTATTCCTTCTTGGCTACTACGCTTCATTTACTTACTATATGATTAACTGTATTAAGACACTAAATAGTGACCTAAATAATAGACACAAAACGAAAAGAGGCTCAGCTGCGTGTCGCATATAATTTTTGTCAGGCTCCATGTTAACGGAAGAATATACGTTTGAGTGAGTGGTATTACTATAATGTATACGTTAGCATGTCGCATATGCACTTAACAAAAACGCTGACATTGAGTGAGAGGGTGTGCGGTTTTCAGGTCGATGTCGTGCAGTTGCATCAGCTGGCGTCATGAACGAGTGCAAGACTAGAAGCATCTGTACGCCATTACAATTCATTCTTCTCGTCTTCCATGCAAATGACAATTTTAGCAGTTTTTTCACGATTCTAAACCTGGTTTCTATGATTTCGTTCTGGTACGTTCTTACTTCTTTCTACGTGCCATGTGCCTTCAGGATGTTGGAGATCATGACTCTCCGCAACTTCCTATCTTTGTCGCTCTTAGCAATGTTTGCCTTTTTACTACTTATTTCTTCCTCACTGCCCAGTCATCCATTTACACAAGCTCGTTCGTAGGTTGCCCGCAATTTACCCCGGTCTTTTAATATATCTGTGAGTTTCCCAGAAATTACTACTCTCTCTTTCTGACTCAAAGTGTACTTTACATCTCTACTTTTTTAAAACTTCCCCAAATTCTTACTAAAGATCCAAATTCCTCTTTTCAGATGACCTCTTCGCAAAAATGCTGAAGTCATACTGTTTATAATCATTAGTTTCTAATTTTTTCCTATTTCTTTTATTTCTGTAGAACCTTGTCAGTTTTGATGCTTCCTTCTAAAGAAATATTCAATTAAACATAGGATGCGCTGAGGGTAGTTTTTCTAAATGCAGCATGTTACTATGCAACCAAGATAGTAACATTTGACCTCGACTTAAATAACTTCATCAAATCGAGATTTATATATGGATGTCATGCATGACGCTAAACCCGTCCAGAAATATCTAAACTGTCAGTTGTATACAACCGCTTTCTCAGATTAATGATTAAAATATCTTCGAGCGAATGAAATCTGTAGCTGTTAGAGACGACTAACATTCTTTGAACCTTGTGGAATGGTACTATAGAATCAAAAATATCTGTATCAAATAATAGAAACCACATTACTTGAGGACTTCCAGTAGCAGCTGTAACTAAAAATAATGGCAAACAAGATCTTGGCATTCTACAGTATTTCAAATCAAAGTTTGGGAAGGAAACCTCCCATTAATAATAGAAAGAGCGATAAGAGCTACGGACTTGAAAAAACTATTTTCCTGAAAAATTGTACTGAGAGAAAGAATTTATAAACTTCAACCACAAGTAGATCTAACTACTCCGTCAAGGAATATAGAATGTTTCTTTAGCATTCTGCTACCATTTGATTGTATTATATTATTGTTATTTTTGATTTAGCGAATACTATTGGTCGAAAAATATTTCAATGCATTTTCTATGTAATAGTGTCTTTCGACAGCAATTTTTGTACAAATTAACACCAAATTGGATCACAGAAGCCTTGGATAATTTTGCGACTTCTGATTGGCTAATATATGTGAAAAACATTACAAGGCCTACGCAATTGTATTCAAAGTCAATTTACCGCTAAACCTGGATATATGTTCTGGAGCCTATCACGTGATTCACATTAATTATAAATATTTTGACACATCTTCATTCTCTCTCTTTACTCCTTCTCAGACCCACAGCAATGTAGTTCAGTAGAGGGGTTGCGTATTCTCTTTTTGAGGATGTACACACGTACGTAAGAACATCGCATATCTACGCACATCTACGAACATTCACTCCTGGTAACAAAAAACGCAACAACAGTTTTGGACACTTGCAGTTGGAGAATCACAAAAGTTTCGGCGAAAAGCGAATAAGTAACGGAAATATTGACTATATGTTAAGCTATTGTCTTAACACAAATACTGTCTATATTTCTTCATTTCATTACAACCACAAGGGCAGAAACTCTTAACGTAACATTTTGAGTTACACTCACATCCGTTTTTTCACACTATTTTCAAACTGTTTAATTCTCTTACAAGTAACAATACATCGTACTAAAGTTCTCCAAACTCACACACCTTTTAATACACATCACAGTTTATCAACAAGAATGTTTTCCTCATTTAAAATTCCAAGGAAAAGTAAATTTCTGCATTTCAAACACAACTGAATTAATGTCTGACGATTGTTGTTATAAATATATAATTTTCGTTTACTTTTGCGACTTTTATTCTTCGATGTTATTCTTCTTATTCCTAAGAAAGTAGAGGTTGAATACAGGCCGATCAACCAGCTTCATTTCTTTATAAGGAAAGAGTAAATATTACCATTACCGCTACCATTCTTCGTAAATCCTTCTATTACAGATTAAACACTATCTTCTTTACCAACAAGCAATATTCTACTATATTTTCTTTTCTCATTATACGCTGTAATATCATCATCCATTTAATTTCTTTGGTGATATTAGCCATCCTTTAATCTAATTTGAAATACTGTAAGGGTAGCAAACGCCGACCGTCTATTGGCCATTAAATTTCCCCATTGCTTTATACGTCAAAAAGTAAGATTTTTTTTTTTCTTGCCTTAATAACGCAAGTGATGAAGATATTATATTTCTGCTTGTATTGTTTGGAGGTGATTATGCTATTGTCTGCCATCTTGCCTTGATTATTTTAGCAATTTCCACGTTTAGGAAAATAAAAAAGCCTTACAATGACCCAGGTCAATGTGAATGCAATGATTTCTTTTCATTATTTAGTTAAATGACCGATCATTATATTCATAACCGAAAATAGAAATTACAATTTCGATGAGATCTGACACCGACGAAGTAAAAGGCCGCTCGTTTGTTTTTTAAACT